CTCTCTCTCTCTCTCTTTGTCTCTGTCTCTTTCCTCTCTCTCTGTCTTTGTCTCTGTCGTCTCTGTCTCTGTCTCTGTCTCTGTTTCTGTCTGTCTGTCTGTCTGTCTGTCTGTCTGTCTGTCTGTCTGTCTGTATGTCTCTCTTTCTCTCTCTCTCTCTCTCTCTCTCCCTCTCTCTCTCTCTCCCTTTCTCTCTCTCAATCTCTCACTCTCTCTCACTCTCACTCTTTCTCACTCTCATTCTCTTTGTTTTTTTCTCTCTCAGTATTTTTCCCCTCTATCCCGGAATCTCTTTGCCCTTTTCGCACTGACCCGTCTCTCCTACAAGATAACATAGTGACATTCAACCCGGGTTGTTTACCGTGGCTCTTTTGGACGATTGGGGAACTATAACTTATAGCGTATAGCGTAGATGGTTAGAGGTCGCCACTTGCAATTCTTACTTCTTTTCTCTCCTCCTATTGTTTCTGTCTATCTTTCTTCCTTTTTCCAAGTCTCATCGGGTTGTTTCTGTCTACCTTTCTTTCTTTTCCCCAGCCCTTCTTTTGTCGGCGAGCTTCTCTCTATCAAAACAAACAAACAAACAAATCAACAAACAAACAAACAAACAAACGAACTAGACGTTTCAGAATTGTCAGTCTCACAATCGGTACAAGACTGAAACAGTCCACGTGTCTTCACAAATCTGTGGGCGGTATAGAACCCCCATCTGGTCCATCAACTTGCTCATCTGGAAAAAAAAAGAAAAAGAAAAAAAAAAAGAAAAAAAGAAAAGTATTGTTTCGTCCAATATCGAAACGGACTTTATTCACACCACCTTCTTTCCAATAACACAGTAATGAAAGGAAAACATTTTCTTTGTCTTCCCATGCGTAGCCAACGTTGGAATTTCCACACATCACTGAGTACCGTGTTAAAGCTTTTTTTTTTTGGTCCAGGCAACAGTCAGCCATGACCCCCTAGCTCTGTACCGGACCCTTAGGGTCAGATTTGTGGGCCGACATGGCTTGTTGAACATCTTCTTAAAATGTTGTTTTGCAAGATTAGGAATGCTTTCATTCACTTTAGATTTATCACCTCAGCTTGATTTTGAAAGAGACGGCCTACCCCATCTCTGTTTGTCCCTCTGTCTGTCTGTCTGTCTGTCTGTCTGTCTGTCTCTCTCTCTCTCTCTCTCTCTCTCTCTCTCTCTCTCTCTCTCTCTCTCT